TAAAATCAGCACGGTTACACTTTCATAGATAGACTTGTTGGAGTGTAACGTGATCACATAAAATTTCAGCGCAATTTCTGAGTCGGGTTCAAATTGTACGGTAATTAATTTAGGGACCATAATTGATTGCTAACAGGTGGCGGTGTGTCTTTCGTGCGGAACCCTTCCAATTAGAGCAGCCTTTATATAATTCTCGTTATCATCAGTGTGAGCGAGTCAAAGTGCAATCGTGATAGCGTTCATCGCACGCTCGACTATTCCTCCATTCAGCATCATCAGATAATTTCTCATTATTATAATGAACTCATGAAAAAAATACTGTCATGAGGGAATACAATTAGTGAGAAGCGCAACGTGCTATATAGAAGCGCATGCACGGATTAACCGCCAAAGTTCAAAAAAATTTGGTTCTAAGATTTTAGAAAGAGATGGATTTGTTGTGAACCTCCGCTTGCGCTTCTGCCACGTTTCACCCTCAGATTGCCGAGGTAAATGCAATAATTAATAGTCGTCTAGTCATCAACAATAGTCAATTAGGCTCGCACGCAAACGCCGGGCGATATTTGATGCGTATGCGTGTTACGCTAATTGCTTCGAAGGACTTGCAAACGATTTGGTGGCCAGTGAGGAAGCAAACAGATGTCCAAAGAGATCACCACTACCTTGATTAGTTATTCAATAACATTATTAGATGGGATAGATGCTTTATAAATTTATCTGTGTGAAATTATAGATAAAGGTCTTCCACCAGGTTTGTTCCAGGAAATAAGCAAGCTTTAAATGTCGCTCATTATCGCGTGGCTCAATTACGAGCGCGACAGCTGCTGCGGAATTTGAATCTGAGGGGAAAAAACTGAAAACCTCACTGCTTGGACAAACAGCGATCTCTGAATACATGCAATTCGTCCAAATTGTTAGTTGCAGTTATGTGCACGTAGCCATTGCGGATGGTTTAATGAAAAGATCGCCGCCTGTCGCGTCATTACAATAACGAACAAATGGATCAAGGTGATCCATGCCACCAGTAGAGATCATTTACTTCGCAAATGTTACGCACTTTCCACCAAACAATTGTCGTCATGCGCTCGCATAAACTTTTT